TTTACTTTTGAAACTCTACTATATAATTATAGCTGATCACTTCATTAAACTTTAAAAATTTTAACTGATATTTGGGCTTATCCAAGGTCCCTTCAACATCGAATTATCCATTTCCAATTATTATTGTGATTTGTGGGTCGTCCTCTTCTTTTTTTTTCCAAATAAATCATTAGTACTCAATTTGAATATATTTTGATATTTCTTTGCAAGTGACGTGATAACTCCTCTGCTCGTATAAACATGTAATTTTGTGTCAATGACACTAAAGTCATGTTGTTAGATTGATACCTTAATTAATACTAATTATGACTATTGACTAATGTCGTCTATTTTGTCGATTTTAAGTTAAACAATATTTTAAGATTTAAAAAAGAAATAGATTTTATTTTTTCTAAGAGAAGTGCTAAATAGCCAGAAAATTTTAAAAACTATAATATTTTTTAATTTTATAATAAACAAATCCTTTTTTTTCATTTTTTAGTAAAAATATTACGGCTAAAAAAATAAAAGTATTCTTAAAAAGTAAAATTACATAGAAAAAATCTAAGACCAAATTTTCTGGCCAAATTTTTTTTCCTTGTTTCAAAATCATTCTTACATAAGAATTACGTAGTACAATTTAGTTTCTCTTTGATTAGGGAAAAATTAGTAAAAAGTAAGAGATAAGTGTCAATATCAAATATAAATTATATTTTTTTTTGAGTTTTATATATAAACTATTGAAAGTTTGAGTTTCGTACCTAAACTATCACTTTTTAGTTTGAGAAACACACCTTTCTCTTTTATACTGCTCTCACCATGGTATGTGTAATACACACTCTCTTTTATTTTAAAGAATTTCCACATCACACTCCTCATGGATAAAATATTCAATCTTGACAAAAAATGAATAAATTATTAGTATTAGTTAAAATTAAAAATTAAATTATAAAAAAATAATATTTTCTTTATGAAATAAAATGTAAAATATTTTTCTTACCCCACGACATTTTTTAAAGTTTTTTATTTTGTTTAAATTTCTTTTATAAAAGTATTTCATTTTTATTTCATCTCCTTTCCCTCATCAAGTACTAATTTAGATATTATTTTATTTTCTTAAAAATATAATTCTACCCATCCCACTTATCCCTTTGCTTTCAGTTTTTTTCTAGTGTTTAGATATACATCGAAAATATTTTTTACTTGCCGCCACAAGGTTTTTTATATTTTTTAGTTGTTTATGTTATATTCGGTACACTAGTATAATTTTTTTACCTAAAAATATATGTACATGCATATCTAACACAAAATAAAAAAATAAAAATTAGGAGCGAAAAATTAAATAGGATGGGGTAGATTTATAAATAAAATAATATCAATTTCTATTGGGGGGGGGGGGGGGAGGGGAGGGAGGGAGGATGAAATATGAAATTTTTAAAAATATTTTATAAATAATTTTTTTAAAAGGATGGGGTTGTCGGGAGGAGGGGGTACGTGGAGGAGGTGGTGGAGTGAGATAAGAAAAATAATTTAATTTTTTATATGGATAGTAATCTTTAATTTTTAATTAATATTAATTTTTTATTATTTAATTTTTATCTAGATAGAATATTTTATTTATGTGGAATGTTATGTGTCAAAGGTTTTTCATATAAAAGAGAGAGTGCACTATACACACCACTGAGGTGTGTTTTTCAAACTAAAAAGTGAATGGTTTAGGTGTGAAAATCACACTTTCAATAGTTTAGATATGAAATTAAAAAAAGTAAATAATTTTAGATATGTTTTTGACAATACTGTATTCGTTGCTATTATGTCAATCTTAAGAAACTATGTAAATTTATTATTGTATCTTAATTTAGTAATATCTTAAAGTTAAGTTTCCAATAAATAAAAATAGATTGATTATTTTAATAAGTTTAATTAATTAATATATATGAATTAATTATTTAATTTTTATTAAATCTATTCATATTTTAAAAGTTAATAATTATTGAGGATAAAATTAAAAAAATAGTGCAATTATGCATTAATTTTGTAAAATTGTCAGTAGAGTATTAAGAACATTTATTTTTAACAAGGACACATGAATAAATGAAGTACTTATTTTCTAATAAATGAGTAGTTTCTCGAAGAATGTGGTTAATAAAAAATGTCAGTAAAAGTTACCATGGAACCATGCATAGCACTGAATAGGGAGCCGTCGAATACCCTAGCTACGCCTAAAACTTCACTAAATTAATATAGGGGATCATTAAATATTATTATTTTATAGATGATATTATTTAATTGATAAATTAATATTATTAATAATTTAAAAAGTATTTTGCGAAAACGTCATTCATAAACTTGAGGTCATGATTAATAATGTCAGTGCAAAAAAATTTATGTCAACAACCTTTTGAATTACTCAAATGAAAGTGGTACATGTTTAAAGGTCCTTTACTTAGAAGAAATTGTACATGTTTAAAGGTCCTTCACTTCTCTATTTGCTTTAAGGAGCCTGATCATTGATGTTGGTTACGATCAAATTTACTAATTTTAATTTTATATTTATATTAATAATTATTAAATATAATTTTAAACTTCGTAACTTTGAAACTTAAATTTATAAATTCTAAATTTTGGGGTGCCCTACCAATTTGCAATTAATATTACAATTAAATTATTGACACTACAAAAAAATAGGTATAAATTGAAAAAAAAAAGTTAAAATTGACAGTCAACGTTGGTTTTTTTGGTATACAATCGACCCAAAATTAATGAATTTGATTACATCGGAAAATTGTGGGTTCGAAGAAATGTCCTTCAACTCAATAATTGATGTATAATATTAAAAAATAACGTTGAAATCTAGATAAATATCTTTAAATAATGTGAAAATGAACAAAAATATTTCATTAATAGTTTAGCATTTGCTTCTATAATGCTTTTATTGTTACTTTTTAAAAAATTATTTTTCTTAATAACTAGTAAGCAATAATTGATTAATAATTAAGAAGCTCAAAAGAAACCAAAAAGAACAAAAATAACTATATTAAGCTGAAAAGAGAAAACAAAAACAAAAATAAAAAATTAACTGATAATTCCAAAAATACCCTTTGCTACCCCAAACTCCTCAACATAGTCTCTAAGGGTCATTTGATAGAGTGTGTTACAAAAATAATGAATGCAATAACTTTGTGTTAGTAATATCTTGTTTGATATATTTTTTAATGCTGTAGAACTCTATTGTGTATCAAGGTGTACTATTAATATCATCAATTTTTTTATATTGGTAACGAGAGGAGATTAAATGCATACATTAACCTGATTAAGCTCAAATACTTTTGTAATAATTGTGAAGAATATTTTTATAATTCTTTTACGCAATACATATAATTTTAAATAATCTCAAATCAACAATGCATAATAAATGTGAATATAACTAATATATTCCATGTAACATTCTTTTTATACTTTTTATTGGACGATCCATAATATATTCCAAGTAACATTATTTTTATATTCCTTACCAGACTATCCATTATATACATGAGAATACTATAAAGTAAAGTGGAGTGGTCAATTTATTAGAACTATGAAATCTTATTTGCACATTTTTCTTTTACAATGTGTCACTTCTCTATTTGCTTCGTGGTTTATTCTTTTTACATACCACTACCAGACCATAAACGCACTAAAACAATGTCCTAATCTTCGACGGAGCTAATTTATCGAGTGCAAGTTTGATTAAATTCATTTTTAATTTAATATTTATATCGAATGACTATTGAATAAAAATATTTAAATTCTAAATTTTAACGTGCCCTACCGATCTGCAATTAATATTATCAATAGCAACATGTATTGACGAATTCTTTTAATACATGGAACCGAAAGTAAGTGTGAAACCCACCAATTATTCTCTCACAAATTGAAGATACGAGTGCTCCTTTGAATAATTCTTTTTTTTTTTAATTTCTAACATGATCTCATACTTTAGTACTAGTAAAGAGTAATCCCTACCTTTTCTTTAGTCAACATTTCACATTATTAGCTTATCACTTGTGACACCCAAACACCCTACAAAATTCACTATTTTATGCCTACAAATTTACGTGCAAATCTCATATATTATGAATACGTAATATATAAATATATTTTTTAACTTGACTTTATTTTATATTTGTATTTTTTAATTTTGAATGTGTATAAGTAGCTATTTAAATCTATACATAGAGTTGAACAAGTAGACACATGAGTCCGATGTGACATACTACACGCAGAGCACCACATAGAACACAAATTGTTAGGTAGGATGTCACGTGGGACGTATTTGTTTATTTGTTCAATTTTATACAAGTTTGAATGTCTACTTATGCATACTCAAAGTTGGACCCCATAAATGTAAAATGACGTAAAGTTAAAAGGGCATATTTATGTATTATGCCTATATATTAATTACAAACATGAGCTAAAAGAGACGAGACAAAACAAGGACGCTATTTTTTTTAAAAAATCTCAATTTATAGAACATTTTATTTTTTAGTCTTTATAAAATGAATTATATAATTCTATATTTAGTAAAAGTTTTATTTTAAAATGATCATTTTAATAAAATGATTTGTGGTCATACAACATCTGTAACTTATTTTAAATTATATATTTTAAATTTTAATCTTTTTTTCGTAAATTTTATATCAAAAAGATACTAATCTATATCACATAAATTGAAACAAAGAGAATAACGGTTAGTTGCTTGCCAACTCATGACCACAAAACAGCGTTGAATTCTTGATCCACCACTCACCTCACCTCAAAAAAGCTTTAAAAAACAACAACAATTAGTAATTTTCATTAATAAAGAAGAAAAAAAATAAAATCAAACGCGTATAGGCCCCATATAGTCATTTTCAAGTATTGTTAGCCACCTTTGCTTACTCGTAGTCTCTTACTCCATTGATCTAGCTACAAAAGTTGCATGTATATCCTTTATTTACTTGTGCCTATAAATATATCCAGGTTTCTTATACAATTTCAATCATTAAGCAACGTAACGAAAACTAAAAGAAAGTAGAATTTTATCACAGTACGTACATAACACCAAATATGGCGTATTACAATTACAATTTAATCAACAAAATGGTTACAATTATTTTTATTCTGGTGCTAGTAATTGTTGATGTGACTATGGTATTCGGCCAAGGGACTCGTGTTGGATTTTATTCCAGTACGTGCCCAAGGGCCGAATCCATAGTTCAATCAACGGTGAGGTCTCATTTTCAGTCTGATCCAACAGTGGCACCAGGATTGTTGAGAATGCACTTTCATGATTGTTTCGTACAAGGTTGTGACGGTTCCATCCTCATTTCTGGTACTGGCACTGAGAGAACAGCTCCTCCGAATTCCAATTTGAGAGGATTCGAGGTTATTGACGATGCTAAGCAGCAAATTGAAGCTGTTTGTCCTGGAGTTGTTTCATGTGCTGACATTCTTGCTCTTGCTGCTCGTGATTCCGTTCTCGTGGTAATTATATATACACACACATGGATATTGCATGCAAGAACGTAGTTTTTTTCTTTGGACTTTTTGGTTATATATATGGTCCCATGCATCGGTAATAGAGTTTAACTTCAAAAAAAATTGATACTATCAGATCACCTAAAAAATAATTATACGTTACATGATGTTACCCCTTACCTACTATAACTAGTTTAACATATACTTCTAGTAATGTAGTATTTTTTTTGATATTATCGGTGTATATAAAAATTTAAGTCCTTCGTAACAATATATAGTTTTGTTGATGCAGACTAAAGGATTGACCTGGTCTGTCCCCACGGGACGCAGAGATGGACGAGTTTCAAGCGCATCAGACACATCTAATCTGCCAGGTTTTACTGAATCTGTTGATGCTCAAAAGCAAAAGTTTGCTGCAAAGGGTCTCAACACTCAAGATCTTGTCACCCTTGTTGGTAAGTCTAACATAACATTACTAAAACAAATAATTTTGATATGAATAGTATTTATTATCAAATACTCTGGAGACTTTAACGACTCTGAATGTAACTTTTAATTTTGTATGGTCAGGTGGGCACACAATTGGAACCTCAGCATGCCAATTCTTCAGCTACAGGCTATACAATTTCAACTCCACTGGTGGCCCTGACCCTTCAATAGATGCAACCTTTCTTTCTCAGCTTCAAGCATTATGTCCACAAAACGGAGATGGCTCGAAGCGTGTGGCACTGGACACTGGAAGCGTGAACAATTTTGACACCTCGTATTTCTCTAACTTGAGGAATGGTCGGGGAATTCTGGAATCAGACCAGATATTGTGGACCGATGCTTCGACCAAGGTGTTTGTCCAAAGGTATTTAGGCCTCAGGGGATTTCTTGGATTGAGATTCGGCTTAGAATTTGGAAAGTCCATGGTTAAAATGAGCAATATTGAAGTTTTGACAGGGACTAATGGTGAAATTCGTAAAGTTTGCTCTGCATTCAACTGATGCATATATGTATATACTAATTAGTTTCGTTCAGTTAGCGCAAGCTGCAAGATGAAATTGTTAGTTATATCCAATATCAATAAATAAAAGCATTTACCCACTGAACTTATTGTTGCTCCTGATAAAAGAGGTTATATATACTTGTTAAATTTTCTTTAGGTATAATTATAAGCAAATATCTACGACAACATCAATAATATCTATCATTACCTGTTAAATTAGATTTATAGTGTCTAAACCTTTCACATTGTAAATATATATAACTTACTTTAGAATTTTAATTTGTTAGAGTGCGTACTCTATATTTAGTTTTCTCCTACAATTATTTGTACGAAAGAACTACATGCATACCAAACATGGAATGGAGAATAGATTAAAAAAAATCAAAACAATTTTGGAGTGATAGTATTAGCCTCAAACATATATGTTAGGATAATTAATTGTGTTAATAGATTCATGGAATATGTACACATATTTGGAATTCAATTATTATTATTCCTATTTAAATTTGTCATTATAGAATTAAAAATTTATAAAATTAAAATCTTAGCTTCGCTTGTGATGGTAGGTGAGCAAGGACAACCTATAGCCACGAAAGAATGCCATGAAGTAGCTGGTGAAGTAATTCTGAAAGCGAATATAATATTACTTGCATATTTTTAGCACTACGCAATTTTTTAGAAATTTGGGAAGACTTCGATAGATTTTTGTTTGGAGGATGCTACAAGAGTACCTAGCTAGAAAAGTCAACCAAGGTCCAAGAGTACGTAATAGTCTATAGATAAATGAAATTGAATAAGACCATGCACACCAATAATGGTTGTGAGTGATATTTTAACCGAGAGATATCGGATACGAGTCTTTTGGTTATAAAGTCGCTTTTGTTAGAAAATACTTTATCTAATATGAGACTTTATGACACAAATTAAATCTAATTGGACTTCAATATAGGTATCAGATAACGAAAGAAAAAAAAGAGATGTAAAACAATGAAAATTCACGTGATTGATTAGTAGTTCAAAAGGAGGATTTGATTAAGATTAATGTGACAATTGGAGAGGGTAGGCTTTCCTAGTGGCACAAACCTTGATTAGATGGACCCAATCCAACAGACTTTTGGTTAAAAGAGTTGAAAATAAAATTTATTTTGAAGCTGGCACACGCGACTAAGTCTCTGATGACATTGCATGCGATCTTGCAAATAAATGATGGCTGTTATATTGTCTATATTCTATATTATATACAACCTATTAAAATCAACAGTAATATTTGCTTTGGCTCAATAAACCTTATGGTTTGTCTCTTGTGCTAAGCCATCATTAACCCAAAAAGGGGCATATTATCCTTATTGATACCAATGTTAGATTTGTCTGAATCATTACTTGTCAGCCTCCCAATACTTCTTGTTGGCCTGTCCTTTGGTGTCACAATACACAAACATGTCCTTTTTCTTGGTTTACCTAATATTGGGTCGAAAATATGGGTATAGCTCATGGTTGATCTCTTTATATGGTTTTGAACAATTTCTCATTTGGCCTAATGTTTATTTTCTCAACATGGTAAAAGTTCTAATTGTTGTCTATCGACTGACATTAGGGATGGACAATCTCTACTTCTACATAGCAATTGCATTAGATTTTCTGGATTTCGAGATTCATTTCCTTGAATGGATTTTAATGAGCATGAAGAAATCACTCGTGACTATAAACGGAAGTATACCTTCAATGCTAAGAACCTTATGAATTAAACCCATAGAACACATTGATTAATAAGATAAAAAGAGCTTGTCTTGCGGCAAATTCTAAGACAAAAACACTGTCACGAGGTTTCCCATAATCAAACCTATCTCCTATGTACCTAGTACTACAAGTTAACGAAGTAATTAGCTGATTTCCTAGTATTCTCAGCTGTTAATTAATACAACTAATTTCTCGTAACAATCGTCCTTGTTTTCTTCTCTCAACAATGTAGCTGTCAATTACCTCCCCTGTTTTTTGAGCCTTATTTGTGTGCATTATCTCTTTGCCTTTTCACAAACAACAATGGGTTCATCTAGTCTCTTCATCAAGTACTATGTTGTTTTGATTTTCATGATGAAATTATGTACTGTGTCCATAGCCGAAGAGGGTTCTAGAATAGGCTATCATGGCACAGAAAGGGATGCTCTTTTGGCGATTCGAGCTGAATTCAACAATCCTAAATTTCTCCAAAAAAGTTGGAACAGCCTCATGTGTTACATGAATAACACTCCAAATTGGTATGGTATTAGCTGTATCAACGGTCGAGTCACTGGACTTGTGCTAGAAAATCTTGGCCTTACTGGGAAACTCAAGGCAAACGCACTTGCCAATCTCACTCAATTACAAACACTTAGCTTCAAGAACAATTCCATATCAGGGAACTTGATGAACTTCTCCAACAACCAAAATTTGAAGAACATTGATTTATCTGGTAACAGTTTTGATGGAGAAATTTCACCTTCTCTTCTAACACTTCATTCGTTAGAGTCATTGCAGGTACAGAACAACAAATTGAACGGTCCAATCCCCGGTTTTAATCAGTCAACTTTGAAAGTTTTCAATGTCTCAAACAACAATCTTTCTGGTGAAATTCCAAGCACAATAGCTCTTCAAAAATTTGGTCCATCCTCGTACTTAGGTAACCATGATTTATGTGGTCCTCCTTTTACTAACACAACGTGCACCACGATCAAGGATAATGAGTCATCTACACCAACTCCAAGTGATAGTTCACATAATGAATCTTCAAATAGTTCAAAATTATCCATGTTGACACCAATCTTGGTAGTAATTAACGTTGTGGGCATTGTTGTACTTTTATATCTAGTGATTTACTACTTCAGAAAAACAAAAAAGCTTAAGAAAATGCTGATGAATAAGGATACAAGATTAATGGAGGTTGATAAAATGGAGATTAGCAAAACTGAGATCACAACAACGCCAACAGAAACCAGGAGCGTCGAATCAAGAAGTTTGGCATCAGAGGTTGAATTAGAGAAAGGAAAATTGATATTCTTAGGTAGTGAAATAAATTTTGAATTAGATGACTTACTGAGAGCTTCAGCAGAAGGTTTGGGAAAAGGAAATTTTGGAAATTGTTACAAGGCAATGTTGGTAGATGGACCAACTGTTGTGGTGAAGCGTTTGAGGGATTTGAAACCTTTAACAAATGATGAATTTGTGAGACAAGTAAGAGCTATTGCTGATATAAAGCATCCAAATTTGTTGCCTATTCTTGGTTATTATCATACAAGGGGTGAGAAGTTGCTTCTCTTGAAATCTGCACCTAACGGAAGCTTATACAACCGCATTCACGGTATGTTACTATGATCTGCTTTACTTTTTAGTCTGTCCTATTAAAACATTTATAATTACTCAAATACATTAGCTATTTTTTTTTCATCGTTTGTTGAACAATAGGAGGAAAAGGGACGAGAGGTAGGATTCCATTTCGATGGAGCTCAAGATTATCCGTTGCTCGTGGTATTGCTCGAGCATTAGAGCATCTACACCTGAACGCCAGTTCCTCCCAATTCGTTGTTCCCCATGGCAACCTAAAATCCACCAATGTTTTACTCGACGAAAATGATGATGTTCGTGTTGCTGACTTTGGTCTCACTTCCCTTGTTGCACTTCCCATCGCTACTCAACGAATGGTTTCCTATCGATCACCCGAATATCTGGCTTCCAAGAAAGTGTCCAAGAAATCTGATATTTGGAGCTTTGGTTGCCTTCTCCTGGAATTGTTAACAGGTATTTGTTTTTCTTGATTCATCATTATTAGTTATTTAACGATGTATATCTTTAGAGTACAATATACATATATTTTAATGATATACAAAAGTAAGATTTACATTATATTGATCACATTGTTGCATATCAATGAATTTGTATATAGAAAATGTACCAATTTTTTCAACGGATCACAATCTTATAATCAAAGCCACTTATAAATCAAATTATAATAAGAGAGTTATAATTGTAACAGGTAGAATTTCTTCACATTCTGCTCCACCGGGGGTGACCGGTGCGGATCTGTGCAGTTGGGTTCACAGGGCGGTCCGAGAAGAATGGACGGCTGAGATTTTTGACACGGAAATATCTGTTCAGAGAAGTGCCAACTCAGGAATGTTGAAATTGTTGCAGACTGCTATAAGCTGTTGTGATAAGTCGCCGGAAAAACGGCCGGAGGTTAGCGAACTGTTGAGGGAAGTGGAAAGTATTAATGGGGTGGTACCCGAATCCGAAGACGAAGATGATCTCTCCTTCTCACTGGATCAATCTATGACAGATGACTCCCTAGCAACTGCAACTCCCTCTCGATAATTATTTGAATAATTAGTAACTAATTTGGCATATTGTACCATGTTATTAATTTGAACAATTAGTGTCTATTTATTAATTTGAACAATGCTCTCAATTTATCGTAGAACACATCATTTTCATTTGCGTGACAAGAGGGATTCTAAAATTAAGTTTCTAATTATTAAAAAAAACACTTTTTCAAAATAGACTAAAATGAAAAATATACGGAAACAATTAAGCGATAATCATTTTCAATAAGCCCGTGCAGCATAATTCTCTTCATTGTATAGTGAATTGGTTTACTCCGTTGTCAAAAGTAAGTAATGAAATAAGGTTAATTTCATGTAAGTTCATCAAATTATCATTGCTAAAAAGTCATCACACTAATTTTATTTTTAATAATATAATTTATAATTACATAAACAATTTAAATTTATTTTAGTATTACAAGTTTAAATTTTATGCTCAATTAAATGCCTAAAATAAATTAGAACATCTAACCAAACGAAGTTTCATACTTTTCCAAAGTCAAAAATCAAAAAGAGCTATTTACAAAAGTTTCCCATTAATTTTCCAAAGTCAAAAACCAAAGAAATGGCTATTTACCACAAGTTCCCCATAAATTCTTGATGGGCTTTGGCATTAGGCCGAATTTAAAAGGCCCCAATTTTAAACGGGGACTCATAGCTCACGGGGTGGAGTTGTGCGTTTGGCGGGTCAAATTTCGCCGGTAAATGAGAGCGGCTGAGCAACCAGTACTTGCTGCCGTGAAGATCATGCTTGCAATAAGCAAACGCATGAAAAACTCTTCCATCAGATCTTGGGGCTTCATTTTCAGGCCTTCCGATATCAATTGCGTCTCAAGGTACACCTTTACAGACACTTTTGTACTTAGGGTTTCTATTTATTGACACTTGATCGTTTCCTTCTTTTGGTTTGGAGAAAGAGGCTGCGAGTCAATTTACGAGTTTTATTCCGCTTTCTTAATGTATTTAAGCTAATGAGGCACAAGAAACGACCATCTTTCAATCATTCTATCCGAAATATTTTGAGTTCATAGTAATCATCATATAGTTTTCCTAAACTGCACGTCAATTTATTGAAAATTTCACTCCATTAAAGAATGATAAAAGTTTCATATCGGTGGTTAATGATATGAGTGGACTTAATGCTTGGGCAATCTTCTCCCTTTGAGCTAATTTTTGCGGTGTGAGTTAGGCCTAAGACCTAATTTCACATGGTATCGGAGCAGACCTGTCTCATGCAAGAGATGCTAAGCACTGGGCGTGAGTTGGATTGTCCATGCAACAGATGCTAAGCACTGGGCGTGAGTTGAAGTGTTAAAGAATGACAAAATTCCTACATCGGTGGTTAATGATGATGAGTGAATTCCTTATAAGACTTGGATAATCCTCCTCTTTTTGAACTACATCGGTGGTTAATGAGATGAGTGGATTCCTTATAAGGCTTCGACAATCCTCCTCCATTTGAACTAGCTTTTGGAGTGTGAGTTAAGCCTAAGACCTAATTTTGACACACTCTTTGTCCAAAATTTAGAATTACTATGCGCAGGCTCTCTCTATCTAAAACTTATTTTAGAGTTTCCAATAAGAAATATTCTTCATTTGTCAAATGGAAGTGTGAATTTTTTTTCTCTTTCTCTTGATTAGAATGACACAGTTAACATTTCAAATTGAGGTTATTCAACAGTTTAGGTTGTTACAAATTGATGACGTACATTCTTACATCTTCTTTTAGTTTTTTCTAAGCATTTTTGTAAGTTATTCGCTGATTGGTTTTGTTTTATGCAGGGAAGCTCCTCATATGTTTTGTTACTCTGGACAAAGTGTTCCAAATCCATATTTGCCTAAAGCTACTTCCCTTATGCGTTTTCTTGGTCATAGCAACTCCTCAATTTCCAGAAACTATCACCAAATGAGATTAATTCCTAAATTATCTCGTGAAGATCCTGCACTGAACACTTTGCTATTGCCAATTTCATTAAGTTCTGGATCTCGTGAGATTGTTTTGAAATTCCTTCATGCTAGGCGGTTCTCTAGTCCATCCATAGAGTTGAATACAGAGAAAGGTGTTGTCAGATTTAGATTTGGTCAAGAAATTGGAAAAAGAGGTGGTCAGACACAGGTTAAGCGTGTCGTGAAGAAGTTTAAAATGTCTAAAAAAGCAAAATTGAATGAACTAAGATTTTACCGACTGAAGGCAAAGAAGAAAATGAGATCTCCAAATCCTGAAGTTAGGATCAGATACAAACTTGAGAAGGTTAGATCCATTATGGCTGATGATATCTATGTCGAAGATATGTTGAATATAATACTTTCCCTCTGTATAGTAATTGTCCAGTTTAAACTACCAAGCATTTCAGTGGTCCTGATTTATTTATGTGAATAAGCTTATGTTGTGCTGCATTCCCTGTTTTTGGTCCCTTTCCCTATTGGCTTATGCTTTCTTGAGCAATTGAGCAATTTGGATGGGATAGGGGTACATAGAAGTAATAAATATTATCTTTTCGTTTAAACAAAAAAGAGGAAATTGGTATGCCATCATTTTTGACATTGTTCTTTTGCTTGCTCTGACTTTTGGTTTTGAAATCTTAGAGAATCATTTATCCATGTACGTACATCAAGTGAGTAGCTTTCGTGTGTTTGCGACATGCGACAACTAAGTCACTTTCTTCGGCAATGCTCCAACTGATGAATAAAGAAAAAGAAGAGTGATGAGATCTAACTTTTTATGTTGGTTATTGCATGTATATTGTGTAGGCAAAACGAAAGGAAGCTTGGTTGATCGAGAAATTGAGAAATTTTGAGGTACCTAAAGCTCCAGATGAACCACATGATCCTGAAATTTTAACTGAAGAGGAGAAGTTTTACTTGAAGCGCACTGGTGAGAAAAAGAAAAATTATGCACCAGTTGGTAGACGAGGAGTATTTGGAGGGGTGGTGTTGAATATGCATCTTCACTGGAAGAAACATGAGACAGTTAAGGTTGTATGCAGGCCTTGCAAGCCTGGGCAGATTCATGAATATGCTGCAGAGCTCACTCGGCTAAGCAGAGGGACTGTTATTGACATTAAGCCAGACAATACCATAATATTTTATCGTGGAAAGAATTATGTTCAACCAGATGTTATGTCTCCTCCAGATACTCTATCTAAAGATAAGGTAATGTATGCATTTTTTTGTTGTGATATCATGGCTTGAATCAGCTTGATCATAAAAATAAAAAGAATTTTATATTCAATTGAAGATTTAGCTTGTTGTCTTGTAAAACTGCAGGCCTTGGAGAAGTATCGATATGAGCAGTCTTTGGAGCATACTAGTCAATTTATAGAGAAAATGGAGAAAGAATTGGTAGAGTATCATGAATATCTTGCTCAGAAGAGAAAACAAGAAAATAGTTGAAGTTAAATTATGAGGGTGTGCATGCAATTACAAAATGTTTCTACCTCTCCAAGCAGGCGATACAAATCATTAATTTGTCAATTACATTCAATTTTTAGTGAAGCTTTAGTGCTGGTTGAGTCTTTTGATTATACCCAACACTTACCTTCATTGAGCGACTGGTTTGATGGCCCATCGAAGTGGAGCTTAAAGAGGAAGAGAAAAACATTTACCTAGCATGGCAAAATGAGGCAGAGTTTAAACTCTGAACCCCTCTGAAGTTGAATGAAAGGAGTCAGATCTCTCTTTCACTCTCATCTGGTCACATTTGGGAGAAAAAATAGATAGCCTTGGTACACCAACCCATTTCCAATCCTCAAACCAAGCTTGGTGTAAGGTTCACAATTGCTGCTTTCAGTTTACTACAGATAAACCAACTTCAACCTTGGTATGAATAGTGGATGTTCCTTCAAGTGAAAGAGTCGATGCCTCGAGATCTGTTAGCGGAATTGTTCAGTGTCTACATTGACTGCAAGAGTTAAGCTGGGGAACTTCAATGGTAATAATATTCGTCAGTGAAAAGCAAAGGCTTCATATTCTCATGTTGCGATCAGAGGAACTTTGGCTGTGTATTATCTGACCCCAGTCCATTCAAGTATACAGCCTAACAAGCAGTTGAAAAGCAAAGACGCTTTGAGCTGCCGTATTTTAGTGTTGCAATAAGTTTGAATGTTTGGAGACATGGATCCTCTGATGGCCAATGATGCCATCTCCTTGAATTCAGTTTTCAGGTTGAGTGTTCATGCTTGTATTCCAGTTAACATATATGGTAATAAAACTTGCTCCCTTGACAAGAGTTTCTCTTGCAGTTTTATTGAGTTATTACTACAACAGGCAATGGTATATTGGCCCCGAAGGAGTTATTTAAGCTATGTAGGAACTTGAATTAATACTATGTTATGACTGCGGACACAAATAGAGCCGGGGGACAGAAATACAATCACCTTAAATTCAAACATATAGAGTCAAAGGGTGGGATTTCAGGCACTCTTAAATTTGAGTCGTTATTGACACACCCTTGTAATCATGTAGATAACTAGATAGATAGAAATGAATGTAATGGATTGTACATTCGTCTTTGAATTGCTTGCATCAATGTGTATTCAGTGTGATCCCAAGTGGGTTTGGAATGATAAGATATATGCTAACGTTACCCTACCTTTATGACCTATTCCATGGTAAACGGGATTCAGAATTGTGACAAGAAGGAAAAACCTGTCTTCAAGTCTTATTTTCAAAAATGTTAAAGATACTAGATGAAAAAGCTTAGGTTACCTAACAATATGTTGCTGTGGTGTAGTGGTTATCACGTCAGTCTTACACACTGAAGGTCCCCAGTTCGATCCTGGGCAGCAACATTATTTTTATTTTATATTATTATCATTTTTTTTAATGATCCTGGGCAGCAACATAATTAATTATAGAGAACCAGCAGCAGCATACATCATTATTATATTATTTTCACATTAAAAGCAGAGAGTAAATTAGCAACCTGCATGCATAGAGAACAAGCATACATTATTATATTATTTTCACATTAAAAGTAGAGAGAGTAAATTAGCAACCTGCATGTACTAAAGTTGGTTTTTAGTTTTATTTCACAGCAAATTAAGAGAAGCATGTACGTTGTTTAGGCCGCATCTAAAGCCAAAAGTTGTTTTTATTTCTTTGAGTATTTTGACATGGTATATGAATTCTTCATGAATCACAGTTTCAACCTACCACGAGCTTCGATAAGCTAAAACTTCTGAGTCACTTCGTCTTGATCTTTCTTTTTGTGGGTTCGCCCCAATCCGTAAATGCAATCAAATTATAAATACAAAGCAAACACTTGACAGAATTTCACAGGGCAAATTGATGGTCCGATCAGAAGTATATAAAATTCAGGCTCATGTTTGACATCTAATTATACAATCAATGTGGTAGCACATTGACACAAGACAACTTGTAACACAAATTAGAATTTACTCTGTTACTGGGAAACATTCGGCTTGCGACTTTTTCAACAATACCCAAAATCGTTCGTCTAAAATATGAAAAATGGAGCAAAATGATGCAGAAGTTACATAAGTTAGTCATATTCTGCAGTTGTGGAGTTCAGCCCTTCTGAATGTAATTTACCCTATGAAACTTGATGCATGTCTTCCTTTTTGTTGGGCCGAGTACAGATGAACAAGCATCAGCACTATGCAGTAACTGCATCAAGGGTGATTAACCAAACTTCCCGAGTTCCACTTTCTTCTTTATGGCCTTTTGACTATGATAAATACATGCATCTAATATTCCAGCAACTGTGAAAACACCTAATGAAGGACAAGGACAGTGCTATAAGTATTATAAAGGTTGTAAGGAACAAAAATTGAGAAGAAAAAGATATTACTCATACAAAGTTATCTAGAAAAATGAATGTTCATTACTTAGTGACCGGATAAAAGCTTATTGTCACGGGTACCGCACTTTACAACATACTCACGATCTTTTAAGCTCAAGTAAGCCCTTTGAAGCTAGATCGCTAAGAGAATGCAAAGAAAGATTTAGAGAGCTTTGGAACAAGGCTTGTTGTATGGTTTGGAAGATTGCTGACAAGTTGAGTGATGCCTTGCAAATGAATGCCCCTCTATTTATACTACAACCTAGAGGGTTAAAATGTAAATAAAAAAATCCCCTACAATATTCACACTTTGGTCCCTTTCTAGAATTCTCTAGATATTCTAGGAAATTCTTAAGTATTCTTGAAATGTCTAATGGTTCTAGAGTTCTCATAAGCCTCTCCATAACTCAAGATTCTTCTCCCCTATTCCAGTGTCGAATTTGAACTTCGAATTTGAATTGTGAAGTGGCGGAACATGACATACTGTAGATTTAAAATAAAATTGCAAAGCAAAATTTGGATAAACAAAGTTGTGCACGGAATTTTGTTTGATACTCGCAATGAAGTGTTACCAAAGCAATGTAACTTAGTCAAGCAGTCGAGCTTAATGGCAAATCAAGCATGATTTTACAATGATGGGAAAACTGATATCTGGAGCTTGAAAGATCTCCAGATTGCATTTGGAATAGATGAGCAGCTAAAAAGAGTTCTAATGGTCTAGTTTCCCCACCCATTCTTTCATTGGAAGTCATATAATCATAGAATGAGATACTCCTCCAACAACCACAAGTAACATCAATACAAAAAAGAATCAGATTAAATAATTTATAATACAGTAAATTACCTCCTATAATTGCACAAACATTGGTGAGGAAATGAAAGAATGACACATGCTCCTCTGTGAAAGTCACCTGCAAAAATAAACCAAATTGGAAGAATAAACCATCTTGCTCCAGTACAAATTTAATCATCTTTCGTTCTTCTCTTTTTTATAACCAAAAAGTAAGCAATTTCCATCTTCGAAACTCGATTGATAATAAGTCCACCTGCAACCCGTGATCACTTAAATGCCAGACAGCAAGATTTAAACTTGTAATGTGACCGACCATATATCCCTTCTTGTGCTACTTTTGACATTGGTATATTTCAAATATTTAGTTCCATGGGAAGTTTTCACCTTCATGCTTGATGTTTCATGATAGAGACTACTATCAAATTGTGATATCTAATTGATATAACACAGAAGGGAAAACCCCTCCAACCCATATTTTAAATCCATCACTTGCACATCTACTTGTATATAAAAATTTTTTTAAGACAGTAGTGTCTGGGCCCAGCTTTCCCGCACCTCAACTAATTCGATAGGATACCTGCCACCTCCCACCAGCAACAGGTACCAGGTGACTCTGTCCACCAAGGCTAGGACAGATGGGAAGAATCATACTAATATATAATTAATTAAAAAAAAACAGAAAGAGGAATAAAGGGGAAAAAATGGATGGAAGATTTCACCTTGATAGGAGAGAGATCATAAAAGAAGTAAACTCCAGTAATTGATTGGAAAAGACCCAAATCTGAACCCTTGAAATGCTCAGTCACTGAGAACTATACATAACCAATGTCCTTTCATATTAGAATGATATACAAAAACTTCAAGAGAAAATGTTCATCTAAAAATGGTCTAAGAAATACCTGATTTGAATCAATAGTACGGCCTCTAACACCTTTAAATATTGTAGGGACCACCTGAAACACCAGCAGACACGTTGAGCAAATTCTTATTTTCTCACCTTTGAAACAAACATAATGTTTGATTCTTGCCAATTGATTCCTAACTAAATCACAAGTATGTTGTGTCATATTTTTTGTTGTAATCAGTACTTTGTGGAATTATGCAACAATTGGTGTTCATTTCAATGTAACATCTGTCGCTGGCAAGACAATATTCCAGATCATGAAGCTTAATTTTTGTTTCTTCCCCCGAAAGCAACTAAGATTGAATTTTTCTAATCAGTAAATTAAGCTTTTATTAACAGATTTAGCTAAGCGCCAAGCTCATGCTGGACATAGCAGCTAAGATTGGCGGCCAAGGGGTTAACTAATGATTTAAAATTAATACCATAACAATGACACATTTAGCAGAGAATTTACAGAGCACTTCTTGGGCTTAGACGAAGATTTCCTTGTGACACACATTCAACCTGGTGGAACTATTTTTTGAGAAGTACTAGATTGTATATGTATTTCTGAGTCCCACCACAGCTTTACCTACACTTACATGGAGGGTGTTAGATTCATAGAAACTTGAAATTTACAGTTGAGTTGCTATGCTTCTCCTGTACAGGTCCTTATTTTCCCTTTAATCATATTACTTAATTTCCTTCTCTGCAAGTCAGGAGGAGAAAGTAACAGAAAGGATGAATACTATGTCTACAGACACTTACTTTGATAAAGTACTGATACATTCCATTCTGTGCTTCCTGCGTCCATTGAACCCTAAAAAGTAATAGAATCCAAAAAAACTTAGGCAATATACCATTGCAAGAGACTAAAAAGAATGGAAATATGCACCCAAGGATGTGACCTAGTTGTCAATGAAGTGGGTTGAAAATTATGAGGTCTCAGGTTCAAACCCTAGCAGAGACAAAAACACTAGGTGATTTCTTCTTATATGTCCTTGTCCTAGCGTTGGTGGACAAAGCTGTTTGGTACCTGCTTGCTGGTGGGAGGTGGCAGATATCCCGTGGAAATAGTCGAGGCGGGCACAAGCTGGCCCGAGCACCACAGTTATTAAAAAAAACAGAATGGAAATACTATGTTCTCCATTTTTCCTTTTCCCTAGGGAGAGGTGGAAAAGCAGGGAGGATATGTGATACACGTAGAGAAAATACAATAAATATAGTTGTTCAACAAGAATCGAAAGACAAATGTGCCAAATCGCAATTACACGGACAAAACCAATATTCTAAGGGCCCGTTTGGATTGGCTTAATAAAAGCAACTATAAAAAAGTACTTTTGAAAGTGCTGAAATTTATTTTTAAAATAAGCAGTTATGTGTTTGGATAAAAGTGTTGAAGTTAAAAAAAATGTTGTTGATGTGTTTGGCAAATAAGTGCTGATAAACAGCTTTTTAAATCAAAATGTCTGAAATACCCTTAAAAGTTGTTAACATAATAAAAGTTAATTAATTTATATTTTACAGCCATAAATAATTATATTTTGCTATCATTCACATATTTCTTTCTCATCACAAATTATTTATAAGAGGAATATAAATTTATTATAGATTTTAAAGATATATAATTTGAATAGATCAAAGAACGATTTAAGATTTTATTTTAGTTTCATCCATAGGTAATAATAATTGTCTATCATTCACATATTTATGTATTATTACAAATTATTTATAAGAGGAATATAAATTTTTATTTAAGTTATATGTGCAACTTATTTTATATTTTTTAATACTATATAATTTGAATAGATCACTTGAAAGATTTAAAATTTATTTTATTTTCATTCATTAGTAATAGTAATTGTCTATCATCCACACGTGAAAAGGGAAAAATGGAAGAAAGAAATGTTAGGGTTATGTGGGTAATTTGGAGATTGTATAAAAATATTAAGGGCAAAAAGGTAAAAATGTGGTCAACTTAAAACAGCTTATAAGCTAAAAAAAAACACCTCTACCCCAGCTTTTAACTTTTGGCTTAAAATAAGTTTTTTTTCAACTTAAAATAGGTTATTTTGAGTATTGCCAAACAGCTAAATAAGTCAAAAACCAGCTTTTAAGTCAGTTTGACCAGCTTTTAAGCTGAGCCAAACAGGCTCTAAGTTGTAACTATGATTTGGTATAAGTTGGAAAATGCATGTTAAACTTCAAAACAGCAAGTCAACCTTGACCTGTATACAGAAGAACACACACGAAGAACCATAGCAAAGTCAGCAGAGGGCAAAGAAATTACCCATCAAGTGGATTTACAACTCCGGGAATAGAGTCGCCAAAAGCTAACTTATTTACCCTGTGACTTATCTGCATGACACAAATAAATGTTAATTGAATGTTAGCCAACATTTCTAAATATATCATGGTACTAATAACAATCTGTTTTTAAGAATAAATTATTATAAAAGGCATCTCACATTATAAGTATCCGATTGTAAGGAAATCAATTCGAAGAGTTGAAAGGTTGACTGGTGAAAGCTTTTGCCAGCAGCAAAGTGAAAATTTCCAGCCACTTTATTGACCTCTAGAGATCCATGAATGTTACATCCTTCACCTTCTTCATCCTTGATCTTCTGGACAAAACCTTCCCTTTTACACTACATATTAAAATATTGAATTAGTAACACCGCTATAGCAAGAAGAATGACAGCAGAAGAGCAAGGTTAATAACATTGATAATGAGTCAATATACTTCTGCCAGAAATATATACAATACAACAATTAGCACATCCTCTGCTACTTACCAATTTATTCATCATTTCTCCTATGCGGAATAGGAACTTCTACCTTCAACACTATGTTGTGTTGAATAATAGTACTGTATACTCCCTTTCACTACTTAATTAAACTGTCTCCAACTTCCCCCGAACCCCTCACGGAGTGGTTAGGCAACAAGCTAATACAAAAGAAATTGGTTGAAATATGATTGTCAATGTCCTTGATGACATTAACCCGACTAATTTGTAAGCAATTCTTTTTCTGCGTTAGAAGTCAACAGCACATGCTAATAATAGTCAACAAGCAATTGAATGCACCTTCTCTTTTAAATGTACTTAATATTCTGAATTTCAATTAAAAAAATGAACATGAATGTAAACCTGATCGATTAAATCTGGATTTGTCATCCCCCAACCTCTCTTTCGATATGCTTCACGAACTTCTTCACATGAATTACAACATTCATCATCTGCCTGCAAAAGACATGGGAGACATAGATGTAAAATATATGAAATGTAGTCTTTGGCACTATGTTCGTATAAGGGATTAATTGGTGATCTGTTGATGAAAACAAGAGTTCACGTTCACCAGTCTGGAAATGTACATTTGGATGAATTCCGAATACTATCAATTAAAAGCAGCAACTACCTTTGCTAGTTGAAGGACAACAAAGAGAAGACTATTGGAGATTGAAAAAGTACCGTTTCTGCACCAAAGCATGAGCCGCAGTATGTTTCATTGTGTTCAAGTCGACCACCATGTCTCTGTAAAGGCTTCTCAATCTATACCGAAACAGAGAAAAAGCGAGAATAAAACGCGGTTAATGAAGCATACACAAACAGTAAATCAAAACCAGAACGAAACAAAGAGGGCAATAAGATATCTGAATCACCAGGCTAACACAACATGCTTCCTCTTCACTACAAGACCCATGGAAGGAAATTAGGTATCACCATGCAAGTAATCACTATTCTCAAAACATTAAGATAGCTGACACCATAAAAATGCAGCAGTCTAGCATTTCCGGAAGTCGGAAGTCCATAGAAGAATCATATGGACTAATAAGCAGAGGAATATTGCCAAACATTCATGAACGCATGGGCCTTCAAATTTAAATTAAATAAATATGCGGAGTAATACTTCAAACACAGTATCAATCATCAACGAACCTTAGGAGCACCAATTCCATCTTGTCTGACTTCAATAACAGCACCATGGGAGTCAATCCTCTTTTTGAATATATCATGTCGCTGCGAGTTATTTGAAGAAGAAATAAAAAACAGTTTTCACGAATAAAGAAACACAGCGACGTAATGACTACAGCAGAAGCAAAAACAAAAATATAATATTATGTGGATTCACATACTATGTCAAAATGTTCTTCTCCACTAATATCCCTGGCGTCAAGACTGAGCAGTGAACATGGAACAGCTGGAAAAGTGATATCAAACTGCGTGAAGACAAGAAAAATTAAGTCTACATCTATAATTACACAAAAATCAAATTTCACAGGCAGAAAGTATACTGGTCTGAAAAGACACTTTAAACCTTATGTCTGCCAAAGATAAAATCAGCATTCTCATAGAAAGCATAAAATCTTGAAAAATACAGGGATCAGAAAAAACTCTCAGAGATCATATACTATGGATGATGCTTAAGAAGGCAGTGAGCTTTACATGTATATGTAATTTTCCTCCCCTTGAAGTATCTACTACGAGCTGTGTTTCAGTATAACTGTGAATATATAATCCTGCAAGTCAAGAGGTGGAAAAAGATCATTGAGCAAGAAATTCTGGTTGTCATAAAAATTGAATATGTAGGGGATGTTCATTCCTTGAAGCAACCATGTAGCAGTTATATTGACCATATGAACATTAATTGTAGCTATACTATGATATATGCCTTTTGACTTCAGCAGTCAATTAACTCTAAAAGTAAGATCTTCAAGCCCAAAACTGGAACAAACTATAAACCATGGCAAGTTTTTTAGGAAAATATTGCATTTTTTGAAGAATCATAAACTTACAAACAAAGATTAAACCAAAAGAAAAAATTTATGAATTAAAATCGGTTACAAATGCACTTACACATATAAAACAATAGAAGATGCAAATGAAATACTTCTTCTAACAGGGACAATAAAACCTTTTGCAAATTCAATAAAACTCTGTTCTTACCAACAAAAAAAGATTCTTTCAGATCCTAGCATGTTTAGTCCAAAAGTAGTAGTTCATCCCCAAAAGTTAAAATCCCCCCCCCCCTCCCGGCCAAAAAAAAGGTAAGAGAAAAAGAAAAGAGAACATCTACATATAGAGTTGTCAGGAACTGCTATCCATGTATCCAAAAGTTCTTGAGCTTAAAGCCGAGTGGTGGTAATCCCAAAGACTTTGAGACTACAATCCCTAAATCCTTAGAATAAACTTTTCCTTTATGGAAGACTTCCAATCCTTTTCATCTCTTGGAACTTAATTACTTAAATACCGCAACCATTGCCCATACTTCCAGATGATGGCTGCATCTTTTCTAAAAAAATATTTTGATAATTCAGATTTGACAGAACAGAATCACTGTATTCATGATCTTCATTCACAAAAGTAAGCAACTCTTTCTTCTTTCTTAGTTTTCCAAGCAAGCCAAAGTATTATTTACATAAACTACAAAGCACTAAGTCGGCATTGAGGATTACAAAAGAAGGGGTCCTCTTGTACAAAATATCAATGATGTAATGAGCTAGTAAAGTCTATCATAATATTCCCTCACATATATCTTTTAACAAGCACCAAATTCCACTAAACATAAGAACATATAATAATTAATATGTAGCGCTATAACTTTTCCCTCAAAACATTTGATTACTTTCCTTCCGTAACACCCAACATGAACATGCTGGAATAGTTCTCAGAATCTTTCTCAGATCTGTCTTTACTGCAGTTACAACCCATCTAGAAGCAGAAAAGATCTCCAACTGATAGAGATATCACTCAATTGACCCTAACTTGCACAACAAGAAGTTAGTGTTTTGGACGGCAACAAGGGTCTGCCTCGCCACAAGGCGAGGCAAGCAGCAGGGCGCTCGCCTTTTGATGTGCGGCACCAATTAATACCAAAAAATTAAAATAATTAACAGCATATGTAATAATCAAAATTTCAATAGCAATAACATATAAGCAAATATTTCAATTCAAAACCTAAAATCTAGAACTTGAATGATAAAAAACATAACAAAAGTCAAAACAAAGGTAGAAGTGACTCAGAAACCTCAAGAAGGAAAATGAAACAATGGAAGAAGAAATCTGAGGAAGAAAAGAATAAAAATGCAACAGTTGGACTTCGGAGTTGCCGGAAAAGTCTTGCTGGTCACTGGAGAAAACACTAAAATTACCTTTTAACTTTTTAAAACCTAAAGTGATAGCCCTTTTTTTTTAAGAAAATACAAAAGAGGACGGCCTTTCTCGCCTCGCCTTTTGTCGCCATGGCGTCGCTCGCCACATAGTTAAAAGGTGATGAAGGGTCACCTCTCGCCATTGGCAACAAGGCGATCACCCTTCACAACACTGTCCCAAGTTGCCATCAAGTGGAATATAATCAGCCGATCTCATCAAAACCAACTAAAAGTGATTTATGTTTTCAATCCTACTTGATGCAAAATGATGCATACTCAATAGGAGGTCCTATATCTTATTTAGCAATCAAAACTTAATAATGGTGTAATATCATTCAATCACTACAATCTCGCAGAGTAAGAATTATTCTAGCGTCATTCACATAGCATCTTGTACTTACATTAAACAAACTCGTTTTTTAACCTGTCTAAGAGAGGTGGTGGGAGGTCTAAGAATAATCAATCATTTCCTCTCCTTTATCCACAATTACCTTGGCTCTCAATTTATCTTAGCCTAGGCAAAGATGCCATGGCACACAGGACAAACAATATACATGTACCAATCTCATTATCAAATAGTAGTTTCAGAAGTTTCTGCAGCCACCGAAAACAAAATCAATCATTGAACTACACCTCGATACAAAACTAGCTAGGCCGACTATATAAATCCTTTAAATCCATTCCATTCTAGTGTCATTCCAGTCAATAAATCAATAAAAAAAACGAACTTTTGAGATGAGAATGTAGGAAACATACCAAGCTCGTTGACGAAGAGAACGAGCATAATAACGGAGGCGACGAGGGTAATAATACCACCGGAAAGCGTGCGGTTATAGAAATCCTCATTGATTTTAGGGTAAGCGTCCAAATTCCGAAGCTTACTGAACACTCTCTCCATTTTCACCGCCTACCTTAATTTCATAACCAAACTTGTACAATACAACGCAAATTCTCGAAATCTTGAACGCACCAAAGATGTCTCAGATTCAGATGAGTTCGTACCCCGCCGGCGCCGGTGAACAAGATCGTTGCCTTGGGTTTAACGATTGGGCCGGGGCTTAACACGGGCGCCCAAGTTTTTATTAAAATAGCGTTGCAAGATTCTTTGGATTCAACAATTGTTTTGATAATAGTCAGCTGGTCAATGCGTCCACATTCATATTCATATTTACTTACTATTTCCTTTGACTAATTGCCAAGTGGATTGGCCTAAACTTAATACTCTCTTCATTCTAATATGTGATATTAATTCACTTTCGTTATTCCATAAAAGGAAATGATCTCTAAAAATTTGAAAATATTTTATAACGGTTTACCTTAATGATAATCTTTTATTACCGGTATATATTTTATTTAAGCAAAAAGATTTATTTTAATTTTAAATTATATATGATGTCATTGAGATTAAGCAGCACTAGGTCATACCTTCTTGAGCGGTTGATTACACAGTCAAATCAAACATGTGCACAAAAGATCTAAGCTAAACAAATACTATATAATTCGAGAGATTCAAGGGAGAATAAAACTCAAAGTATTACTTTACGCTTTATAACTCTAGAGGAAGGACATTCTCACCTATCTATGTTGAGAATCCCTTCACTGTTCTAGAGATGATTTTGAAGTGAGAGTAGACTTGTACATGAGTAAGTGAATGACCTAAGAGCTAATGAAGTAATGTTGAATAGGAATATCATGTATGCCTATCTTTATCTCTTTCACCGTGTCTTCGATTCTCTAGGGAATTACTCAAATATCGATGGTACAGTTCAACAGCAATAAAGAATTTACCTTGATCATGATAGAACTGAAACTATTAACTCTGCACCATTTCAAACCAAGAAGAAGGGCGAAAATTTCAGCTTAGTTGTTGGCTCCATGGCCTAGGTGCAATAAAGAGTGATCACACAAACATTTGGACATCATTACACAATTGAAATTTTTTTTTTTCTTCAGTAACGTACCTTATCAAATAAATTTACGTTAACTTGAAATAGGAAAGCACTAGTACTAGTATGTTATACTACCTATGCCCCAAACAAATTGTCAAATATTTTCTAATTTAATTTCTCTTTTTACTTGTCAATTTTTGACAAAAAAAGAATGGACAATTTTTTTTCACTACATCCTTAATTTATTAAAGTTGAGTTAAATTTCTTTGGAAAATATAATAAATAAACATATTTGAACCCTATCAATTAATAGGTTTAAAATGATATATTCATCATATCAATCTTATTCTTTTAATTGGTGTGTGTGTCAAGTTAAAATTTTACAAGTAAAAAGAGACGAAGAAAGTATCGAATAGAATACAGAATTCTCAGACGAGATGATTGGCTATCAAATTTAGTATTACAATTTCTGATTGACGTTACAGTATAAAGTGTCAATTATACTATATACATGTTTCACATTGATATTGGGAGGCAACAGTCTTTTTTTAATAAGAAAATATTTTTTGAAAAATTAAATGTTTGGCAACTCCTTTATACTGTTTTTAAATGAAAGCAAAAATAATTTTCTACAATAGGAAACAAGCTAAAAATTCTACTTTTAATAAAAAGCAAAAAGCAGAAAATTATTTTTTGAAAACTAAAATATCCCTTACAGATATACATATTTACCATATATCTTTTACTAATTAATTAACATATCTCATAAGATTGGTTAAGTTCCATTCAAAAATTTAATTTTCATTTCTATGATAATTTTTAAAATTTTGTTTTATGTCTTTTTTAGGTTATTATTTATATTTTATTTATTATTTTACCGAATTAGAAATAAAGGTAACAAAATATTTTGTAGGACTAAAAAAAGAGAAAAAGTAACAACTAAAGATTCAGTCCTAAAAAAATATAACAAATAACAACATTTTCTTTTTTTTGCTTATGTATTATTTTGTTTTAATTTTCATTTGTTAAAACTTTTAGAGTATTATTAAAAAAAAGGGAATTGTTAAAGATTAAATTGTTTTAAAAATGGTAACAAATAACAAAATAAAATCATATTCAATATTTTTCAACGATATTTATCTATGTATAATATTGATTGAAACTTTGAATATGAACATTTTAATTAATTAAAATAAAAATATAGTTACAGTTTTGGTATAATTAATTAAAATAAAAATATAGTTACAGTTTTTTGTATTAGATGATTAAAATAGTTACTCTTTGTAAAATAACCTTAAGATTAACAACACATTGATATTTATCCTTTTTCATAATTTGTCTCTTACAGTAACTTTTTTTTTAAAATTAATCAAACACAAAGTATTTGTCTCTTTGTCAGTGTTTGGCTAAATGTTCTTTCTTTTTCAATTGAAGAAGTGAAACAATAACAGTTACGAAATTCCTAAATGCAAGCTCAAGTTATTTGACTTCTTTCATTTTACATGCAATAATGTCAAAATTCTTACTTGGATAATATTTATTTCTCACACCACGAAACACTTGCGATAGAGTATGTGTAGTCATTTCCACATGAAATTCTTTTTAGGGGTCTTGAAGTCTAATATAGACTCCAGTTTGCCTCTATTATTTTTTGTTTCTCTAACCAAAACTAAATCAACAATATGAGAGTTCCTTGCATTGTCTTAAAAGTGAAACAAACATGAATATGAGCCCAATGGAGAAGGCTTTGTATGAGTCCAATACATATAATACATAAATATTGAGAAATGAGAAATCAAGTCATGGAGCAATACACTTTACACACACAAGCCCATATACATGATTATTCAAGGTCGAAAGCACACGAGGTGCCAAAAAATGGATGATATGGGAAGGTACATCACCTCATCCTTGTGATATTTGACATGCCTATATAGCCTTTTCTTAAAATCAGCCATCATAATCCCAACATTCACTCTAGGCGGCGTGATGGATGTGAACAAAAAGAGTGGCGTAAACCACTTCCAAATACCTCTGCACTATCCAAGGTACACCAAAGAGGACTACCAGCACATGCCTGAATGGATGATCGACAAGCTTCTTGCTGAATATGGTTTACCTGCTGAAGGCGACTTGGCTAACAAGCGAAAATTCGCTATCGGTGCATTTCTCTGGCCTCATTGCTCATCAGACCGTACTTCCCATCTCACTACATCTCCCCACCCAGCATAAAAATACATGAGCAGCTCTGTTTAGAATAACTACACAAGTATCCGTCACCACTCACCTCTCCTTCGGAAAGTACTGTTTTCAAACTACTCATTTGTGTAACTGTGTAAATAAATATATATATATATATATGCATGCTAATATGATGTTCATATTATTGTGCTACTGCGCCAAAAAGCGTTCAACTATGCTTTCACATCGTTTTTAAGGCAGGAAACGAACAGACATCTACTCATGGCCAGAAGAGGCAACTTCCTCAAGCATTGAAGAACCCTCGTTAAAGGCTAATTTGTTGTGTAACTGTTTTCACTTGACCTTGTTGTTTCTGCCCTGGCATCCTAAACAACTAAAAATCAATCGAAAGATTCAGATACGCTTCACAAAAACTTGACGCACGCAATTCATTTGCATTTAATACAAGGCGATTGTTCTTGTATTTCGATCGGTTAGATTGTGTAGGGTAAGTTAAATTATGAATTAGCTTTAAGGGGAAATAAAGGGAAAACAAAAGACAGGGGAACAGGTCATGAGCTACTACAAGACTTGCAAGTATCTTCTGGAAAATTTCCAGGTATTATCTACTTACAAACAACAAAAAAAGAGTCAGTTGGTTTGATCTACGTATACACAGGAAAGGTAGTTTGTGTATGCCTTCCGACTGAGGAAGGGTTAGAGTGAAACAAATATAATTTGATTGTGAAAGCTCATACAAGGATATGTTCTCACATGGACCAGAAACCAGTTCCAGAGAAAACATTCAAAACATAAAGGTTCCTTGTATGATCTTTGATCATTTCTGCATGTGAAATTCCCCCCACAAACTGGAATTGACTTCTTAAATAGTTATGGTCAATCAGCAACTTCTCCATCTGTTTGAGGTGCAATTTCTCCATGAGAGATCACGTTATCACTCATCACTGGTGTGCTAGACAACGACCCGTGAATCTGCCCATTGATTCTTTGCATAATAAGGTTTCATATAGCATACTGTTAGACATGAATATAGGAAATAACTAAAAGCTTACCATGGAAGGCGACTTCAAAGTCGAGGAATCGCGGGCAGGGGCAACAGCAGAATCCGAAGGCCTGTGGAATAGCAAATGAGCAATAGATCGATCTATGGGATTTGTGTCTGTCTCAATGTCCACATATCCTGTGCACCTGAAAATACAACCAATTAAACATTACCAACCAAAATGATGCGGAAAAAAATGAAAAGAATTTGCTACATGTGCTGCTGCTGACCTCCCCAAAGGAGCCCAGCAGCCCTGCCAGAGTCTGCTTTCAAAAAGGTTCTGACTTAACATATTATCCCAGGTTTTACCAAATCAGTATAGTCGTGTATAAACTGTCATGCGATAATTCAATGACTAAAAAAAATTTTAAAAAGGGATATTTTCAGACAAAAATACACTCCTTCAGCACCTTCCTGTCAATTGAGATGCCGTGCATAACATCTTCACTTCATTATGTCATCTATCGATTTTTATAGGTACTTTATGTACGCATTTACATCCTACAGTTGATATAAGGAATTATAACTAAAAAAAATTCTATCATAACTTCATGTACCACAATATTATTGTACCACTTGACATATTAAATATACCAACTCCTTACTGCGTTAAATTCTTACTTCTGCTGTTAAAACATGTGAACTAAACACAGACTTGTCACCTTTCAGGACTTTTAAGTAGAAGTGAAAAACACCAAAGATGTGTAGTACTAAGACAATTCCACTCCATACTATTAATTTCACCCTTATCTGTGGCTAATCTCGATGACTTAACTAGTATAGACAAGACTTTTGTAGAAAAATATAATTCAATGGGCAAACAACTCTCAGAAGTACTAGACTTAAATCAGGATATTACTACTTAGAGTTGGACTAATATTCAACCACTCAGGGAACATGCCATCAGTGAACTACACAAGATCAAGCTCAACAATGATGCAAATTAAGCAAACAATCAACTATATAAACCAATACTAGCTGACTAATTAAC